TCCGTAACATAAAAACTAGTCCAAAGACAGGGCGGACCTTAAAACGCAGTATAATAAAAGGTCTGCCCTCTATATTTCAGACATCTGACTATTACAAGGTGAAAATTTTGAACAGGGTTTATTTTCGTAGCATAAAAATTAGAGAAAGAGACAGGGCGGACCTTAAAACGCAATATAATAAAAGGTCCGCCCTCTATATTTCAGATATCTTACTATTACAAGGCGAAAATTTTGAACAAGGTTTATTTTCGTAGCATACAAACTAGAGAAAGAGACAGGGCGGACCTTAAAACGCAGTATATTTAAAGGTCCGCCATCTATAATTCAGATGTCTTACTGTTAGAAAGAAAACATTTTGGACAAGGTTTATTTCCGTAACATAAAAACTAGTCAAAATGGCAGGGCGGACCTTAAAACGCAGTATAATAAAAGGTCTGCCCTCTGTTTTTCAGATATCGTACTATTACAATTAAGGCGAAAATTTTGAACAAGGTTTATTTTCGTAGCATACAAACTAGAGAAAGAGGCAGGGCGGACCTTAAAACGCAGTATATTTAAAGGTCCGCCCTCTTTATTTCAGATATCTTACTATTACAAGGCGAAAATTTTGAACAGGGTTTATTTTCGTAGCATAAATATAAGAGAAAGAGACAGGGCGGACCTTAAAACGCAGTATAATAAAAGGTCTGCCCTCTATATTTCAGATATCGTACTATTACAAGGCGAAAATTTTTAACAAGGTTTATTTTCGTAGCATACAAACTAGAGATAGGGCGGACCTTAAAACGCAGTATAATAAAAGGTCCGCCCTCTGTTTTTCAGATATCTTACTATTACAAGGCGAAAATTTTGAACAAGGTTTATTTTCGTAGCATACAAACTAGAGAAAGAGGCAGGGCGGACCTTAAAACGCAGTATATTTAAAGGTCCACCCTCTATATTTCAGATATCTTACTATTACAAGGTGAAAATTTTGAACAGGGTTTATTTTCGTAGCATACAAACTAGAGAAAGAGACAGGGCGGACTTTAAAACGCAGTATCATAAAAGGTCCGCCCTCTATATTTCAGATATCTTACTATTACAAGGCGAAAATTTTGAACAGGGTTTATTTTCGTAGCATAAAAATTAGAGAAAGAGACAGGGCGGACCTTAAAACGAAATATAATAAAAGTCCGCCCTCTATATTCCAGATATCCTACTATTACAAGGCGAAAATTTTGAACGGGGTTTATTTTCGTAGCATACAAACTAGAGAAAGAGACAGGGCGGACCTTAAAACGCAGTATAATAAAAGGTCCGCCCTCTATATTTCAGATATCTTACTATTACAAGGCGAAAATTTTGAACAAGGTTTATTTTCGTAGCATACAAACTAGAGAAAGAGGCAGGGCGGACCTTAAAACGCAGTATATTTAAAGGTCCACCCTCTATATTTCAGATATCTTTCTATTACAAGGCGAAAAATTTGAACGGACTTTATTTTCGTAGCATACAAACTAGAGAAAGAGACAGGGCGGACCTTAAAACGCAGTATCATAAAAGGTCCGCCCTCTATATTTCAGATATCTTACTATTACAAGGCGAAAATTTTGAACAGGGTTTATTTTCGTAGCATAAAAATTAGAGAAAGAGACAGGGCGGACCTTAAAACGAAATATAATAAAAGGTCCGCCCTCTATATTTCAGATATCTGACTATTACAAGGCGAAAATTTTGAACAGGGTTTATTTTCGTAGAATAAAACTAGAGAAAGAGACAGGGCGGACCTTAAAACGCAGTATATTTAAAGGTCCGCCATCTATAATTCAGATGTCTTACTGTTAGAAAGAAAACATTTTGGACAAGGTTTATTTCCGTAACATAAAAACTAGTCAAAATGGCAGGGCGGACCTTAAAACGCAGTATAATAAAAGGTCTGCCCTCTGTTTTTCTTTTTTCCCACATACATGTATCTCACTTACAAAGCAAAAATTATGGAAATGCTGTAAGTTCCTATTGTTTTTTTTCTTTGTTGGTTCGTGTGTTTTTCCAGGGTAAAAAGATAATTAGGTTTTTAATTTTAGGATGGACGCTAAATTAACTTAGAAAACTCTTGGAATGGCCTAATTGTGCATAAGAATTGCATATATACTACATGTAGTAGTGTACTTTTTTCATTTAATATGCTGACAAAAAGACAAAACTTTAATGTCAATTAATTATCCACTCTATGTACGTTTGCAGGAGATGTGTCTACTGTATTGTATATCTATATGCAACCATAAACATCTGTCTGAAGGGACCAAGGATATATATTATTATTTAATTAGTAATGTTGATGACGTGCAACAAGAGAACTATACCCCCCCCCCCCCATCACACACACATAAATAAAAAAGAAATAGCCGCTTAAAGTCGTAGAAAATCTAACTTAAACCAAAATCAAAATAAATATAAAAAATATTAACAAAAGAACACGACTTGGTGGTGTTTTATGAATTTTTATATCAGTCACTATCTCAACAGACACTTTCCTTTTTATTTTAGGGGGAAATACATGTCAAGTTGCTCTGTAAAACCCCTCTGTAAATAGTATGGGTGGATAAGATTCTCCCTAGTAAGAAGGTGGAAAAGGAGAAAATTCTGTACTGAAGCGTACTGAGTATTTCCTATGGTGGATAATAAAGCCGGGGTTGTTTCTTCCAAGCTCGCTGCATGTCATTTCCGAGATTTTGCATTGCATTTCCGACATTTTTTGTTTTCATTTTACAATACAATCAACACAAAGTCTAGTAAAAATACAAAGTTTAGTAATAAAATACAATAATTTCAATAATAAAACATGCAATTTTTTATCACCAAATTTTAATGCCCACTGAATTATATGTGTTTGAAAGCACCGAAAAACAGAATCTCCTCAACTTTGATTACTTTATTCCGTCAAACATAGTTTCTGTATGTCATAAATTCTACCTAAACCTTTCTGATCTCAAATTCAGTCTGATTATCTTGATTTGAAAAGATGAACAAAAATTCACAACTTACACTTACATGTGTCCGAGGATAAAATCGTCATAAGATTCTTTTAAATATAAGCAGAACTTATTATTTGGAAATCAATGAATTATTCTTGATTTATTCTTTATTTTTTTTATAAGGGAAATTTCAATTTTGTTTTCATTGCCGGAAAAGTACTTTATGATGATAAATGTCAGAGATGAAAATTTTAAAACGTCAGAAATGAAAACTACAAAATGTAGGGAATCAAATAAACAATATTAAATAAAAAACTCCCGGAAATAAAATCCTAGGCTAGGCTCATTTTCTAAAAGGGGAGGGGTTTTTAAACCCAAGCTCGTTTTTCCGGGAAAAAATATTAATGCGGGAGGAAAGTCTACAACATCAGTACTTTTTAAACTATTTGACATGTATCAGCATAATTTTGCTATACCCCACCCACCAAAAATACAACAACACCATTTATAATCTTTTCCTTTTTTGGGGAGGGGTGTTTTAGTGCTTAAAATGTTCAACTCGATTGACTTTGGTTTGATTTTGCCAATTAATGCACATCTTCCTTAACCAGTGTTAACCCTGGGGTGATATCAAGTAGAATGAAATAATCGTTAGTCTTTAACTGGATAAGAAACGATGGTTATAAAAACACGGGGGATATGCGACTTCAAGTTTCGTCAGGTGAGATAATAGGCCTACCCCCCAAAGCACAGACATGTTGTTTTAACAACAACGGGATAGGCTAGTACACCGTAACACAAGTCCCTATCAAAGTGACCCTCCAATTATTTTATAGTTAGGTACAATATGAATCGTAAGAATTATGCATAATTATTATTAATGATATAATGAAATATCTTTCGAAAGATATGAAAATTCTTTTTGGGAAGTGGAAGTCGAACGTTGTTAGGAAAGAGACTGTAATGAAATGATCACTGTTGGACTTACGAACACCACATACTGAACAATGTGCCAGTGAAGGTATGCGTATTATATATATGTATTTTTTTTTTTATTTTGCAATGATAATATTGATATCACTTAAACTATAAAAGACACATGTCGCACATGATTTTCCCATAAGTTAACTCGATCAACAGATCTTTGCATCTTTATATTTTTTGTTTTGTGCACTACCTGGGAGGTATGTACTACGATAAGGAGCAAACAGTTAATCAGCGCTAACATCAAATTTTGAATAATTTTTTGATAGATATTTTGAGGTTTTGTACTGAAATATATCATAGTATTAGAAATATAATTAATTAAAATTGGCTAACGAAATCCAGCAACTAGCGAGATATCGCAAGACTTGATCCTTTTAGTATATATACAATGTACATACATGTAGGTCCCTGGAACTCCATTTTGCTGGGAGGGACACTTTTATAACAACTATACCTTAAATAATTTAAAAAGATTAATAAAGCAAATTAATTTCGAATCAATAAAGGAGAAAAATCTGCATATTAAACCGAGGGCGGACCTTTTATTATAGAGGCAGGCCGGACCTTATATGTTATCGTATTAGGTCCCCCCGGACCTTTAAACGAGGCGGACCAAATATTATGCGACACCGGCAAGGAAATAAATAATCTGTTCTTGACTATTACTACCCCCCCCCCCTTCCGTCCCCGTTTGAACTTTTTTTTTGTCAAACTTTTTTCAGTGAAGAAGAAAATAAATAATCTGTCATTGACTGGCATGAAAATAAATAATCTGACTCGAAAATTTTTGCCAGACCCCCCACCCGACCCCCCTCCTCAGAATCAAATGGTCGTCCCCTTAATCGATTCAGCAAATTAATCCAATAATTCAGATATCTAATTCTGTGGTTTATGATAGCTACAGCGCTAGCTCACCAATCTTTTTTAAAAGATAAGCTTGTCATATATATGATATACAATTTAGTCTAATCATATATATCGGGTTCGGTATATCAAAAATATATAAAATTTTAACCAAATCGGAATTTATTTTCCCGGAAACTGTGACTGGGTTATGTTTGATGTTTATTATAGACTCTACCCATAAGAATTTTAACCACATTCCGGTAAAAATCAACTTTCGGTATCAGTTTAGACGGGTATCACGGTGCCTGATCGCTGACAGACCAGCACTCGAGTAGATATGGGTGATCATGGTGATGTTGGGAATATTTTGGAGGCATGCATGCTTCTTGACCAGAGATTATCAGAGGCGTATGATATAAAGCGCAGGGTTGATTTAATTTTGGAACATCTTGATTTAGTTGAAAGTAGACTGAAAGTAAAATGTCCTCAGTTCAAACCAGGTAAGTATGAGAATTGTTGCGCTCTAGCCAGTCGAATATTAGTTAGAATAATCTAACTGTGTCTCTGGGACAAGCCCTCACCACAGTTAGAAATAGAATACGTCCCATATACTTGCAATGTAGCAAATCGGAGTGGATCCACTCCGAAGTGATTTTGAAGAATACGAAAGGAGTTGCACTGAAAATAACTACCACATTAATCATAACAAACCTTTTTGAGATTGCATATGCCTTTTAACCTAAAAAATAATCCATATAAATACGAAAATTCAACTCATTTTCTCACCGTTTTTTCCTCGCTTCAAATTTAAAGCCATGCTGACATTCGGAATTCTCTGGATTGTTCATAGAAAATGCACAGAGTTTGAGTTATCGCCTGTGTTTATTTTGCAACATTGCCAATACGTCATGGAACGAATTTTATCGTTAAAATGGGTCCGTAGGACAATATCATTATAATGATAGAATATTCTATCTAGTCGAATATCAGACATCTTGGCCCAATGACACCTCGGCCCTTTGACATTTATGCCAAATGACACCTCGGCCCTAACAAGTCGGCCCAAGATTTAAGACAGGTCGGCCCATATATAAGACGCCTCGGCTCAAACAAAATTTTATTTCGAAATATATTTCCAATTTGCGACCTGAATAAGATATTGACTGAAAAAAAAGTAAATGAGTAAATAATTATCTCCTACAACCCAAACTCTGTCACCATAAGCGGAAAACACGCCAGGTTACTCTGAATTATTTTTTGATTTGTTTCTTGTTTGCTACACTTAGTAATGAACTTAAACATTGTTTTCAGAAATATTTTAAAAAATTCAGGGGTAGACTTTACTTTACCGATCCCCAGATCTGCAAGATCTGCGTGCTCATTGCACTACGACGTAAGATTTACATCACTCAACTGATTAGGGTTGGTTTTGCACATTTTTCGACTGGTTAGGGTTAGGCCTAGTCTTGCACCCACCTGAAAGATTAGGGTTAGTCCTTGCATAAGTTTTCGACTGATTCGGGATAGTCTCGCATCCATCCGAGAGATTAGGGTTAGTCTTCGCACATGGGTTAGTCTAGCATGGTCTAGCAATGCTTGTAGCATCCGCCTGGGAGATTTGGGTTAGGCCAAATAAAAAAATATGTGTGGTTCCGGTTACCTGACCTTCCGTATTTTATACCCCCGACCCTAAACTTTTTTTGGCAATTTTCATATTTTTTCCGGAATTTCCCCCGATTTCCATCAGTAGCTCCAGTTTAAGTTTTAGTTTCAGCAATGACGGCTTCCTTGCAAAACATAGTGCAAGTGTTTAATAGTGTTAAATCCAAAGCAAGATAGCATGTAGGTGTCCCCTACCAATATTGACTAGTATATTATCACATCTAAATGCCATTTGCAAAGCAGTGATAGGTATTATTTAGAAAAAATTAAGAAAATCATTTTGTTAAAAAAAATAAAAAAAAATCCCTACATACCTACCCTAATTTTTTTGGAAGTGTAACCGGAACCACACATATTTTTTTGTTTGGCCTTAGTCCTCGCATACCATCCAAGAGAATAGGGTTAGTGTCTTGTTCTTTTGGATTAATTAAGAAATTCGGTTGCATCTGTATTTTTTGCAAGATCTTAATTCAGCTTCAACCACATCTCGTTGGTTTGTTTAGGCTACGTGAAAAAATGTGTAAATACGAAAGAAGCAGCACTAAGCATGCGCAGCACGCGCTTCGTTCACAATTATTTTTTGTCTCCTTTTCAGTGAATAAACAATATTTATTACTTTTTTTCAGAGAACGAGGTTAAAAACTTCATTTAAAAACAAAGTTTTAAACTAAACTAAACTAAACTTTTAACCGCAGAATTTGATTTTTGGGTCAAAAGGCTTAAAACCTCACATTTTTAATTTTTTCGATCGCTCACGTGATCTCATATATATATTGAAGTCGCCTAAGACAATTTAAAGTGCTAACTGGTAAATAAACTAGATCTGATGGAGTCTCCACTGCGTATTATACTAGTGAAAATGAGGGGTTAATTACGAGCAGGCATAGTTGTAAGGCGGTAATTAAAACCAAAGGGACTCCACAGCTTAAACTGTTTAAAATATATCCACTATACTATAAATATATTTTATGTTCATAGTATATTGTAAATATATATAAGAAAACCACATTCATTAACCTCGCTAATTTTAAACCAGTTGGAGTCGTTTTTTTTTTCAGACTTCTTGTATCATACATTTTTTAATGAAAAAGATAAGATGAAGTTCAGATCAATAATGCAATTACTTTAATTCATACTTTAACTACAGGTGACTCTCAATGGCTCGAATTCCGATCTCTTGAAGCTCTCAATCTCTCGAAGTGAACCTCTGGTCCCATTTTTTCTCTCTATATAACTAAGCAAATTTTCTCCTGATCTCTCGAACACATATTTCATTGTTTTGTACTCTCTCTCTCAGTTTTGATTGCGCATGTATACAAGCCAATCAAGCGTAAAATTAATGCAGCTTGGACTTACCTGGACAACAGTGAACGCCTGGGGTTGGGATGGGCATGTTAATTGGATGTTTACATAGATGATACTATGCCTGTGAGTCGTCCGAGTGTTGATATAATTAATTGGTAAATTATGAACAAATCGCTTCACAACTTATTTTGACTGGTCAAGATGATAATTTTGAGAAAATAATTTAGGGACGCGTAAATTATTTTCCATAGATTATGAACTTGAATAGAGTCTACACAATCCCAGTTTGGCAAACATTGCACAAGAAATCTTATCTCAAGAATTGAATACCTATTATTAGCAATCTGGTAATTAAGGGACTGATCAAGCCCGGGGGAAAGCCACATCAACATTTGCTTTTCAGGTTTCATGTAATCATGAAATGAGAAGGAATTAATATTTATAATTTTAAAAAAATCATTTTATTCATTCAAAATACGATCATTGTTGTTGAAATCAAGTGAATTACCTGTAAAATTTGAATGAAAATGCAATGACATTATCAACACAAACTTCCGGTATGTATAATTGTAAAACAATGATGATCAGAACTGAAGATTCTGGATTTTATTCACTTTCTATTTCTCGAATCCCCCGATCTCTCGAACTTTTCTTACAGTCCCTTTAACTTTGAGAGATCAAGAGTCACCTGTATTTTTACGCTCATTATATAGACATAAGTATAAACAGTAGAATGTCCTTACCTTTTTATACGCCCGTCTTTAGACAGGACGTATTATGTTATGGCGTTCATGTCCGTCCGTCTGTCTGTTAGCTTTTCTCATGTCCGGCTCATAACTTTAATACTATTAGGCCTAGGATTATCAAACTTTGTCAGCTGATACTTCTTGGGTAGAAGGTGTGTCGCGCACTAAAATTAGGTTGTTCTGACCTTTAATTAAGATGCTATGGCCAAATATGGAAAAATCCTGTCCAGCTCATAACTAGAAAACTATTAGACTTAGAATCATCAAACTTGGCCAGTTTATGCATCTTAGGTAGAAGGTGTGTTGCGACCTATTTCAAGGTCACTGTGACCTTTAATTTAAGTGAAATTTAAAAAAAAAATGTCTTTTTACTATTAAATTACACAATCCCAAAAAATGTAAAAGTGTTGCAGTATCCTTATTAAAAAAATGTTAAAATCAAGAAATACTTATTTTTTTCATTATGTACTTTACAGCAATCTATAACAAATATAATGTTACAAGAGAAATTCCACCTCTCCCATGGGTGTAATTATCAAGCACTGGTCAAGGAGAATTTTGGTAAGAGAAAATTGCATGTCAAATTAGAGAGAAATTAATGAGTTTAGTGTGAGGAGCTAACTGGTAGAGCATCTCTGATCAAGCAGGTGTTATCTATTTCTCTTGGGAATTGGGCAGAGGAATCAGCCATGTTGGATTAAATAGTTTTTGTGGGCTAGCCTAACTTTTATTGGAATTAGCATGCCCATTGTCCATATGAATTGCAGCTTAAAACCAGTCTGACATTGAATCTAAAATAAAAACAAGTATTTAAAAAAAAGTTTTAATTATGGTAGATAGTTCCTACAAATCTAAGAGTCAAGCAGAAACCTTATTAAAAATGTTGCATCAAGATTACAATTTTTTTTTCTTTTTATAAATCTTTGTAACAAATTGAAAAAAAAATCTTTGTTTTCAAATTTAATTTCAGAATGACATAAATATGCATTTAAATTAGGATGAGAATCTAAATTTTAAATTTATGTGGCCTAAATATGCATATTTATTACTATTAAAGCTGATAGTGCAGATCCATTCATCCCTTGGGAGTAATGAGTGGACATGCATCCAGTTAAAGATTAATTAATGAGTTCAGTGTAGGAAGGCTAGCTGTCTCAATCATTTCTGTTAGAGCATCTCTGATCAAGCAGTTCTTATCTGTATCCTTTGGGAATTAGACAGAAGAACTGCTGGTCAGTTTTTAGCATATGTCATTTGATGGCCAGTCTTTTATTTTAAAATTAAATTGGTATAGATTAAGTTGCTAAGACTAAATTGATATTGTTTAATATGATATTTTAATTTAATTTTTTGAAAATATCAACTAGCAAATTTCAGAGCATCATGTCTCACAAATATGAAAGATGTGTGTGTGTGTGTCACTGTGTGTGTGTGTGGTGGTGGTGGTGGTGGTGTGGGGGGGGGGGCTGCAGATGGGCATTTGTCAAGCTCTAACACTACCAGTTGAGGATCTATAATGTAATATTTGTTATAATGCCTACAACACAGGAAATGTATAAACAAAAATTATAAGAAATGGAAAAATCTTGGAAATCCTTGTATCAAGGTTGATTGATTTTCTTGCACTCTAAACTGTTCGTGATAATTGAACAATATTTGACGGGCGTATCATGCTGTGGCGGGGCACTTTATTGTTAATCAGTTGGTTAATGCAAGGTTAATGGTCGTAACCATATTGCAGATTTTTAAAATTGTTTTTTAACATGACCCGTTTACCCCAATATGCA